ACCTGAGGCTTGTTTCCACGAGAGAATAGATGAATGCAATAAATTCAAGGAAGACTTTCAGATAGAAGAGTATATGAATGTTTTAATACATCCTTGAGATAGAAGAGGGCAGCAGTCTGCATTTTGCTATCATTTAAACCTGCATTAAGCAATATTTGTGACATGTGAAAGAGTTCTTCATAGTACCCAATCCACCCTACTCTTGTAAAAAAAAACTAGTTGACCATTTGGCAAGCTGAAGACCAAGCTGTATGTGTCTGGGGTTGGTTAACCAAGCTTTTAAAGTAAAGTGATTATTGGACTCATAATGTTGCCCTGTGTTATGTGTGCTGTATAAGTAGGCACAAGTGTTGGCTGTAATAACTTATGTCAGTTTGTTTTGTGGTAAAAAATTGCTTATGCAGGTTTAAAAGATGCACCATCAGTAACTTTATGTTTTATCAGCAACACCACATATGCAAGCAAAAAGTGATTTCTAAGTATCCATGGAAACCACACCCAGTGCACATTGTGTTTTGGTGTCTGGATGCTTTGGGTGATTTGCCATATAATTATTTCAACTGCATACAGAACCTATAGTGGTGCCCATGAATTCAAACCTTCTGAAACCCTCTTAGGATTCTTGTTCTTGTTAGGATTGTTACACTATATCGCCCTTAAACCTCAGATAGCATCTGATTTAACTTCCAGTCTGTAGAGTAAAAGAATATAAAAGAGAGATGATACAGTGTCCAGAGGCCAAATGTGTACCAGCTAATTCAACCCAGAGCTCTGGGTTTATTGAGTTTAGTGACGAGGCACCACACGTGTTTTCAGGTCCTATGGATGGAGGTCTGCATCTCATTATTCCCCAACAAGGAGGGGCAGAACATGCTCTTATTGCTTTACCTGCTTACTTTTTTTTAATCTCAGAAACTGTCAAGTTTTTTTCAGCGTGTCTAGCTGTTGTAGCAGGACAAAGGGAAAAAGAACAATATAACTGAGATGCACTGTCCTGCCTCTGTGTTACTGCACAACAGACAATATGCCAAATATCAGCTTGCCTGTGGTATCGGTGCTAAAGCACAAAAGGCTTTATCCTGTCATTTTTCACAGAGTTTAGCTGTGATTCTGATAATGTCTGTTAAAAGAAAGCAATAAGATAGAGACATAGGGTCAGTGTCATCATGGACTGCTGATAGTGGAGGAGCAAGGACAGAAGGTTGCATGCACGCCTGTGAGTGCCAGGAATACCGGCACTAAGTAGATATTTGTCACTACTAGTGCTAATACCTACACTGATTAATACGTGTCAGTGTAGTTTAGATGTTCAAATGTTGATTGAATTCGTTGACTGTCTCTGGCATTCTGTGTTGCGTTGTGCCAGAATTACTGTTTATATTTTTAGGAAATGTTCAACATCTCAGTGTAATACTAACACACTCTGCGCTCTCTGGTGAAAAACCAGGGCAGGCAGAGAGTTTACAACAATAATAGTCTTATTAGTAGGCCATCACACGGTAAAAATATCACTCCCTCATACCACAACTGGCCACATGTTTTGCCAGAGGTTTCGTTAGTGCCAGTATTTTGGGTGCAAGTGGTTTAGTTGCTCAAAAGACCGTTCTTCAAACACAGCTTTACAGTCTGTTACAGAAGGACTGAAATGTATTAATTTACTGTCAGACTGAATGTATAAATACTCTCAACAAGACTGAAGTGGAAAAGCTTGTGCATGCTGCACTGTGGAATGAGCTGGAAGGATGGAAATAACACCAGCTACACCACTGATCACTTGCTTCTCTCTACTGGTCAAACTGCTTATTGCATATCAGTTTGTGTTGCAATCGGAGCTGTAATGTTGTAGCTCAGCTCACAGGTTTTCTACTTGAACATTTTTTTACATTTTTATATCCACAGCCAAGAATGTTCAGTCAGTTACACGTTCAGGCCAAATCCGCTTTTGTTTGACTTCTAAATTTACTAAGAAGGTGTCAGAACAGCCTGTGCTTACGGCTTTAGTTGAGCAGTGATCTTCACATCGTTCTGCCTGGCATCCCTTTGAAGTGACACTTACTACAATCTGCATTCTTCTAACAAATCACAGTAAAGATTTCATGGATGTTAAATGTTAAGTCAAATGATGGTGCTGCTCATGCTGCTCTAGCAAAAACATTTTATTGTTACGCAGTGACTGTAAGTGTTTTTATTTTAATTAATGGTTTATGCATGTTAGGAATGTATGCATACTGTCCCAGTTGAACACAACAAAAATGATTCAATATATTCTCTTTCTTTCAGTCCGATTCACATTTTACGTTGCCTGCCTCATGTCAGCCTCTCTACTTTCTGCCCTTTTTTTCTCGTTTACTGATCTGTCTGAACTTTGCACTCAGGAAAATGTTACAACACCAGCTGCATTGTTTGATTCAAAGCAGAATGAACTCTGCTTTCCCCTGCCTTCTGTTGTCTTTGTTTTAATGGAATTCTGTGTTTATTTGTTTTGTGTAGTATAGGTGCGACGGTTAGCCATAATATATAGATTATTTTTGTTAATCAAGACTCTGTAAAGCTTATAAACATTCCTGTGTTGTTAGCTTGTGAGAATGCTTATGCTGCTCACACACACATGGTTAAATATCGGCAAGAAACTATAGTTTATTCATGCAATCAGTAGATCATTGGTGAGAGCATTCTGACAAACTAACTAACATTTGTACAGTAGACCTCAGAAAAATCCTATGCTCAATACTCAAATGCAAAATGCTCCCTATGTGCCTTATGTATTATTTTGATAATGAAAACCAAAGAGGTTTAGGTTGTAAATTCTATTTTGAAGAAAAGTCATACGATTTGTATATATATATATATATGCCTTAATGTTCAACAAATAAAAACTGTTTGAAAAAAAGCTTCATTTCAAATTCATTTTCACCACATAACTTTAATCCAGCATGTTGTAGAAAGGGCCAGACAACAGTTTATATCTGTAATTTTCTTTATTGTTTAATTATTTACATTGTCCAGTTTCTCTGTCAACAAAGTCGACAGAAGATGACACAGATCAACACATTAAATAGAGGAAAACCTCTTCTTACAAAAACAATGTCTGCTGTAGATGAGAGCATGGGTTGTTATGCTCACCACAAAGTTCTAAACTTTACTACTGACATGAAGTTTTAAAGTGAGTACTGGTCACACTTCCTCGATCCCATCAGAAGTGTTTCAGAAGGAAAGAATCAGATTAAATACTTTGTGATTAAGCAATGGCGAAAGCTGACTTAAGGTTTTCTAAATGCTCAGAAATATTTTAATAAACACTCCCTTTTTTCCTCTAAATTCTCGGGGAAGGATCTCGCTCTGCGATATAGAGCTGCAGTGTAACTAGACTAGATCTTTTCAGATAGAGCAAACTTCACATTGAGTAAGAAATTAACATCACAAAGATATAGAAGGAGCATATTGTATTCTGTCGGATATTAACTTGGATCAGCATTGGCTTATAACATAGTAGAAATGCAGCAATCTTAAGACATCAGTGGTCCACTAAATACTTTAGTCTCAACAGCGTGCAGTTTGGTAATCCACTGCAAAGAGAATAGAGACTGACTCACAATCAAATCAGAGTTAAGACTTATGGGTATTTGCTAAAATGAGCCACATTTACAGACTCAGTCACAGCAGCAGGCCTGCAGGTAAAAAAAAAAAACGTATAACGTATAAAGATACAAATCAGCCACCGGACGAGCTGTGCGGCAATAAAAGTGACAAAAAAAAGCAGGGCTGAAAGAATGAAAGAAAAGAAAAGCAGTGTGAAAACAACAAGACTGCATGGCTATTTTACATTTGACTGATTGTAACATATGTTCAAGAGATAAGAGCTCTCACCACGCTTTAATGACCTGTGTTCTTGAACAGCAGAGATTGTAACAGTGCAAACAGCTTCCCGTAGCACGCATTACAAAATAAGACTTAGAAAAGGAATTTTACAGTGATAACAAACAGATTTTTCTTCTAAAGCCGAGCCTTTGGTTGAGCAACATTTACACTTCTGACATTCATACGAAAGTCACAGATGAAACACTTGCTGCTGTTGTCAATAGCCACTTTTGAGAATGAAGCACCAAGGTTGTTTCAGTACATGATACTGGTCACACATAGGCACATTCACAGCTTTGAGGTAAAACACTCTGCTTCTAGTCTGAATAAGTATTTATCTTCATTGGCTGTGGTGTTCCTTTACGCTATCAGGGAAGATCTTTGAATAGTGTATCTATCTATCTATCTAT